CATCGCTTGTGACAGAGTCCGCAAAGTACCAGGTGCAGTTGGAGACCTGACAGATTCCATCAAGTGAAGGATTTCCAGGAAGGAAAGATGCCTACATATCTATTTATAGATGCCTATTTATACCGCTGAGGTGCTGGATGCTGATGAGCACACAGCATGTGGCCAGCTGTGGGTAGACCTGCTTTCCACTCAGCAAGCAGTTCATGTGTATTTTGCTCAATGCAGGCATTGCCTGGCTTTTCTCATCAGAGATCTGTGCTTTCTGGCCAAATTGACCACAAAGGAATCTGAGAAAAGTTTTTTAGACAAAAAAAAAAAAAAGCATTAGAAACAGAAAGGGGCGGTGAGATGAGGTAAAGCTCAAGAACAGGGAGAGGAGGTGGAGCATCTTGGCCGGATGAAAGCTGAAGGGCAGGGAGGAGAGGAACGGCCAAGAAGCAGCAGATGGTCCAGGGGACATTCTCTGATGCATGTCCCTTGGTGTCCTGTTTCTAACAGGCAGCCCTGAGATCTGATCCGGCATGTTATACCCCAATGTCCTGCCTGCCTGTGAAGGCAGGAAGCTTGAAAAGAAAAGTGGGAGGCTTGTGCTGGGAGCTCTGCAAGGTACCAGGGACTGACAACCCAGCAGCCACCAAGGGGAGTAGGAGGGGATGACCATGTAAAGGAGAAGAGACAGTAGGCATAAAGCATGTAGGGGGATGTAGGAGGAGAAAATGGACTTTCTGGTATTGCTGGGAGAGACCTGGAGCGGAGGCGTGCAGGAAGGAGCAAAGGGCTTTGCAAAGGGATGGGCAAAACAGGACAAAGAGCAGCAGTGGGCAGTTGGGGAACAAGGAGTGATTTGGTATTTTGAAGGAACCTAACCCATAATTAGGGATACAGGCGATTAGTCGAACTTCCTAAAGGACCTGAAACTCAGCATGAGACACCCCTGCCCAGCAGACGACATCACAGACACCCAGACCCATGACATATATGCCATCCTGCAGGGTGATGTCATGTCAGCACAGCATCGCTGCACCACGGTCTCCCTCCCAGAGACTTCTCCCTCTGTCTTTTGGTCTTTTCTGGCACTGCCCAGAGCAAAGCACAGGGATTTATTTGCCTCCGGGAGATCAGTTCTCAGCCTGGCGAGGGATGGAGAGACTAAAATAGGTAAAAGTTATTTATGGCAGCAGGGAGATTCTGCCAGTGGGATTGGGCTACTGTGGCACCAGTCACTACACAAAATAGTTGTAAGAGGTGGCCTGTGGTCCAAAAAGGTTATTATTCAGGACAGGGAAGGAGATGAAGTCGCTTGCTCAACTGGCCCAGTAAGTAAATAGCAGAAAGGGGGAAGGAGCTCCGGCTTCCTTCATCAGAGGCTGGCGCTTGGCAGACCAGCTCAAATTGTTTCTCACGTTGTCCGTACCAGCACAATCCACTTGCCAGTGTTTACCTCACATCCTTGAGCAATAGCCCTCAGGACTCTGCCGTTCAGGTTTGTTTAATTTTGTGGAGGAAGTGCCACTCACAATATGCTCAGAGGTTATGTTGCTGCGTTGCAACAGCTCTCATCCCACACGGAGATGGAAGAGATGCGAGCGGTGCAGATGTGATGACTCAGCTTTGCTGGATTTCACAGTACTGGAGGCTCCACTGACATTTCCACAGAGATATTCTGATGAGCTTGGTGTAAGAGGAGAAAGAATCAAAGTAACCGAATCTGCCCCAAAGTTAGCCTCCCAAAACAAGCCTTTACCAAAGCCCTTCTCCTGTAGAGCAGTGCAGCACACAAGGTGGAAGGACATGCACATCTCCCTAGTTTGAGATGCCTATGAAACAAAACCACCTATGCATCTAGTTGCCCTGACCTCCTTTTGCAGTCAACAGAGAGAAAACAAATGCAATTAGGGCACAGCTTCTCTAGTTTCTTTACTTTGGGTAAATCACTTTGCTGTCTGGAAGCGCTAACTCCCCTATACTGACACAGAGAGCACTTTGCTCAGAAGCAGCTCTTGATGCCCGGTCAGATGAATCCTAACCCATCCTTCCCACAGAGAACCGAAGGGGCTGGCAAGAGGCCAGTGCATGGGATCTCTTTGGAACAAGAAACTCCCCTCTGCTCACACAGATTAACACATCTCATGCAGAATTACACGTAACCTGCAAGTACTCCAGGGGTAATTCATTGTTGCAGGAGGTGGGTGGCTCCAATACCAGCCCAAGCTTTGAATCAAAGGCACCAGAGCATCCTTGGTGGCTGCCTGTTTTGAGGTGGTTACACTCACCCAACTGTCCTTCCCAAGGAGACGGGAGTGGGGAAGGGGCCTCCTGTGCCAGTGAGATAGCGCTGAGGTAAGGAAGGGACAAGGTCAGGTTGACAGGCTAGGTAAGGGTATGCAGCACTGCTAGGATGTGAAGTGGCTCAGTCTGGCTGGTTTTACCCTTTCTGTTAGCACTGGATTTGAGAACATCGTTTTTGATCACCTAAGGACACTTAGACAGGGGTTCTGTCCCAAGTCTCAGCATGCCAGAATCTTAGGGATGACCAAAAAGAGACACCTTCACCAGGAGGACCACCGATCCCTTATCAAGTAGATATCGTCAAGCATTTACCCAGCTGAGAATTGCTGTTCCTCACAAAATTTCCATCTGCAGTGTGATGTTTAAAAGAAGCCATTACTAATCAATGATACTGAGTTCCAAGATAACACCAGAGTTGTGCACATCCCGGCTCTGCTTCTTGTGATAGACCTGCATACATTAGTTGCTGAACAATGTTGTTTCAAGCTGTACGTACACTTACATAACCACAGACCGTATAATCAACACATTTCATAGCATGAAGAGATCAATCATTCTGAACCTCATCACAGAAATATACCTCTGATCCCTATCGTATCATGAAAACAAAAAACCAAACCAAACCAAACAAAAAAAACCACAACAATGTCCAACTTCTGCATCTGCCAACGCCCAGGATAGCTCGATGTACTTTGAGATGCCGGCTCTTTAAAACATGTGAGCACCACTGGCAGCCAGCAGCCAACATCCAGCCATGTGCTACTGCTGCAGCAGAGAAAAGATCGAAGGTAAAAGCCAGGAGGATGTTGGCAGAGGGAGAGGAGGGAAGATGTGGCCCTATTATTCCCAGGGTCACTTAGTCCTGCTCCATGGAGCTGATTATCTCCACGGTGCAGCAGCTCAGGACAGCTGCCACCTTCCCTTATTCCAGTCCTGCTTCCTCTCCAGGGAGCAGCATGGGGAAAGGTGTCTGTTGGTTTTTTTTAAAGGGAAAAAAGAAAGGTGTCTGCTTTTGTCCCAGTGTCACTTGCTCCAAGGAGCACCATGAGGCACTTGGCACCTGCAAAAATACAGGGCAATAAAATCACTGGAGTGAGCTTTCTGGAGACCTAGGCTTGCCTATCTTATGGGGAGGCTTTGGGCCAGCCTCCTCTCCTCTCCACCTTTCCACAAAGGTCAGTCCCATCCAAAAAACTGGAGAATGAACAGCAGGAGGCTGTTTCTCCAGTCTGCAGCCAGTCTCACCAGGGCCACTGCCCCACCAGTCCCTCCAGACAGACCCCCAACCTCATAACCACTTCCAGCCACACATCAGGAGTACACTGTGTGCCTCTCAAAACACCCACACAGAAGCAGAGGGATGCTGTTGAACACCTCAGAGGGTTCCAGTGGAGCCCAGCCCTCGTGTGACAGCTGTCAGGCTGGGTGCTCCCTGCATGCCAGCACCCTTGCCCAAAGGGACCCCTCGGTTTCCCCTCTTCGAAGAGGATGAATGGCTTTGTGCAGAGCCGCAGCTCAGCATCCTCAAGGCTCTGGTACCCTCTGCTGGCCTTGAACGTTTCTTCCGCTAATGCAGCCTCTGGGGGTGTGTTTTTCAGCCTGAAGGTCACTCACAGACACGGCAGCAGCTTTTCCAGCACCTGCAGCAGCTTTGCTCGCCTGCAGTGCCCGACTGCACTGGTTTCAGAGGGCAGGGACCTACCCGCACCTCACATCTTTGGGAGGGCCCTTAAGAGAACCACTACTGCTTCACTAGAAATGACAAAAACCTCCCGACTTTGCCAAGCACAGAAGGGCAAGTGGCTGCAAAAGTGCACGCAGGAGCGGAAAATGCAGGAGTGGGTCCTGGTGAGTGGCACATCCCTCCCCATGGCTGCCAGCAATACCAGCAAGGTGGTAGAGGTATGGGGAAGAGAGCAGACAGCTCTTAGACATTGCTCTGCATCCCCATCCTCACTTGGCACTGCTTTACCCCACTGAGGCAAGTGGGAAGGCTCTGCCCACGATTCCAGCAAGGCACTCTCACAGCCTTTCCCATCACAGGGTAAAGGGTTTACCTGCTGCAGCCCCTGGAGAGAGGAGGGAGGGATAAGCAGAGCAGCTCTGAAGCAGGGAAGAGCAGGTTGTTTTCAAGCTGCTGCTGGCCAACAGGGAAGACGGCAGCACGGTAACTGGGTAAGGTTCCTCCAGCACCAGAGCCCAGTGGGGCAGAACATGCCAGCAGGGTTGATGCCCTGATAAAGCAGATCAAACCCTGAGCAAGAAATCATTTTCTGCTTTTACGGGGCTGCCGGTGCTGCCCACAGGGCTGTGTCCTGCTGTGAGGCAAGGCCCCAGGGTCCATGCTGGGCAGTGGGTGACAGCGGGCTTTTCAACCAAAATCCTTCAGCGCCTCTAAAGGGGGAAGGTGATACATCCTCTCTCTCCCTCTGGGCAGCCAAAGACTCAGGGCTGCCACTATGAAATTTTATTTTAATACAAACTAAAAGCTTTTGGAGTTCAAAAAAACCATCAACATAACACAGTAACAGAACATCCACCGGGAACCCTGACCACCCCAAAGCCTGGTTCAAGAAAGAAAGCCAGGGCTGTTTGATTCCCCAAAGAAAAACTGCTTCCAGGAGCAGGCTCTGACCCCATGGAGAACTCTGCCTGCAGGAAGGCCCATGTCAGGCAGCAGCGTTTCTCTCCCCACACGTGGCAGAGGAAGGTCACTTGATGCGGTACAGGACTTTGCGTTGCATGCGGTGCTGGATCTCCCCCCGCCGCATCATCAGCTGCAGCACCTTGTAGATGGCGTGTTCTGGGTATTTCTGGAAAAGGGAAGAGGAGGGAGACATGAGCCAGCAGGGAATAGACCATGAGTCCAGCAAGAACCTAAAACTACCACTAAATCTTGGCTGTGTCTCTTGCCTCTCTAGAGGAAGAGAGCTCAGCCACACTAGGTGCTGATGCTCCTTTCCTCTTCTACTCTTTCAGGTCTGACTGCAGCCAGTCTCACAAGTTGTTCTGGTTCTGGTCTCCCATTGTTCTGGCTTCAAGAGCAGGACTCCAATCTAGCAAACACCCCCAAACCTCAATGCTTTTGCAGGAAAATGCATTCTCAATTTTCTCCCCTTAAACAAGAGGAAATGGATTTAAGTTGAAGGAGAACAGATTTAGGTTGGATCTTAGAAAGAAATTCTTCAGTACAAGGGTGGCAAGACTTCAGAATAAATTGTCCAGAGAAGCTGTGGATGCCCTGTCCCTGGAGGTGTTCAAGGCCAGGTTGAACAGAGCTTTGAGTAGCCTGATCTAGTTGAGAGGCGTCCCTGCCCATGAAAGGGAGGTTGGATTAGATGATCTCCAAGGTCCCTTCCAACTTAAGCCATTCTATGATTCTATTAAACTCTGCAGTCACAGTGCACACCACTCCCTATAAACAGTTTCAAAAGCAAGTATGACCAAAAGGCTCTCCAGCCACCTCTGGGGGAATGGGTTTCACCTCCCAAGTCACAGCCTGGGGTCCCTTGGTTTCACAAGCAAACCCTCCACATGGTCCCTGGCCCACCTGCCGCATGAAGTCCTGGACGATGCTGTGCTCTGACACCTGAGAGCCAATGGCAAAGCGGCGCTTGAGCTGCTTCTCAATGCGGGACAGCATCTCCTGGTCCTCCTGTGTCGTGAAGCCTTCCGCCCCTGGATGAAGAGGCTGTGTGAGCTCTCTGTGCCACCTAGACATCATTCTTAGACCTCGAGTGACCATCTCCTGTGTCTCCCACCACACCTTAACATCTCAGAGACTGGAGGGAACCCACAAGCAAATCCACCTTCAAAGGTTGCGGAGCTCCAAAGATACAGCTGAATGTGGACTTGACTGCTGGAGCTTCCTTGAAACCTTTTGTGCCACACTGCCTCCCAAGGAAACGTTATCTCCACTCCCACAGGGAAAGAAGTTGGAGGACAAACAGGTTGGGGCACCACCTCCAGCACTGGACTCTGCTCTTGGGACCACAAAGAACTAGACCATCCCTCCCTTACTCAGCACCAGTGGAGACCCTCAGTGTCATCTGCTTTTGGCCTCCCTGTGAGCCACAGTCCCATGGCCATGATGGCTCCTCACTTCCACAGGTACTGCTCTGCCTTGGCTCAGAAAGCAGGTCCAGCTCCCTCCCAGTGGGGGCCTGGTAGCACCCCCTGCCCCTGCCAGCTGGGTCTTGGGAGGGGAGCTCATCTCTCCTTGCCCTGAGCAGCCAGTCCCAGCACGTACCTCCTGCCCCCAGCACAGAGCATCTCCCCCTCACCTGACAGGCTGCCCGACATGGCTGCATCAAGTGTGGACACCTGGAAGAGCCGCAAGGCCTCCTCAACATCCGCCTCGGTCGCGAAGGGCTGAAGCCTCATCTTCCCTAGGGACTCGGCAATGCGCACGATGGCCTCCAGCTGCCTGCAGCGAAAGGAGATGTTCCCCGCTTTCTACTGCAGCCCTGAGCAGTCCTTCCCCCTGCTGACATCTCCACCTATGCCATTCCAGGCACCTCCTTCCCCACCTCTGCAGCTCCTCAAATGTTGCCGTGTTCACAGAAGGCTCCCCAAATGCCAGCATCCCACTAATCCCCTTCCTGGGCTACCCCAGGTGTCTCCCAGCAACACAACCCCAACACCAAGGGGCAAGGAGGGTGAGGTTGCTCACCGGATGGTGATGGGGATGCTGGAGCGACGGTCGCTCTCCTGCTCGTGCTGGCGAGTGCCGCTCCGCATCAGGATGTAGCGGTTCTTCAGCTTCTCCGCTGCCGCTGCCGACAGCCGAGGACCACACTTGCTGCAAGGGGGTACACGAGATGGAGGTGGTGCCACCAGGAAGGGTCCCCTGGGTGGAGGGAGGGTGCCCCTGGGCATCCTTCCCCTCCTTACGCTACATTGTGGCACCACTGTGAGCTGCTCTTGCTCCCTTTTTTAGAAGGCAGGAGCTAAAAAAAGGTCACCCAGCTAGGGTGCTTGCCAGTGGCTTCACGGTTTGATCCTCACCACTGCCTCCCACCCTGTGGCCTGCATGTCACCAGAAAGTCATGCCATGCCTTTGCCTTTCACTCACGTCCGACAGAAGGAGATGAACTTCTTCAGCTTGTTCAACTCAATCTCGCCCTCCACGGCCTCCGTCTGCGTCAAGGCGCTCACGTGTAAGGACATCACATGCTTGGCCAGTGTCTAAGAGAGCAGAGTGGAGTCAGGCAGCAGGAACCTCCCTGCATCCCCCTCCCCCAAAATGGGGCACCACAAGTCCCAGCTGCACCCACATGCCCCAACCCACCATATCTCGTTCCTCGTTATGCTCATCCTTGACGATGAAGATCATGTCGAATCGGGAGAGGATGGTGGGCATAAAATCGATGTTCTCCTCACCCTTGGTCTCGTCCCAGCGCCCGAAGACAGAGTTGGCAGCTGCCAGCACTGAGCAGCGGGAGTTTAGGGTGGTTGTGATTCCTGCCTGTAGGGGGAAGGAGCAACAGATGGGGTCAAAACCATGTCTGTGCCAAAGCAGGGCTATTAACTCATAGAGAAAGGTCCAAAGCAGTTTCCAAATACTCATCCTCAATCAGTTGCATTTAAATAAAACCCTTTAAGTACTACCCAGTCTCTCTGTAATGGTTCCACAGTCGAGAGGTGTCAGCACAGGAGCTACATAGGGCTGGACCCACACGTCCTTCTGGAGAAGAACTGGTTTCAGCTGAGACTTGAGCACAGAGTAACTTCATTTAAAACCTCATGTCAAGGGCAAGACCCCACCCCAAGTTTGCAATCTGAGCCATAAACTGAGTGGCTGGCCTTGAGTGACCCTGGGCAGTGCCCCCTCTGATTTGGAAGAAGACCTGTCTCCAAGATAACAGGCAGTTTCTGCAGATCTGAGGGCGTGAAGAGCAGTAGGAAGTAAGAAAATGAAGTGACATCAGGCTGTGACATAGGGATGTCAGCATAACTACAAAATCTGGACGAGGACAGGCAGAGCAGAGGGAGCTTCTTTCAGTCCTGTTGATGTTCAGCCTGACTGAGATCAGACTACCCAAAGCCTACCCATAGGGCTGACAGATCTCAGATCAGAGAAACCAGTAACCATCAAAACCACCACCTGGACTCTAAAATGGGCAATCTTGGCAAAAAGATATGACTACTGGTTGCTGGGCTCTCAGAAGCCCAGTGGCAAGTCAGGACTACTGCCCCACAGCAACATGCACCCACAGCTCACCTTAGCAATGGAGATGGTCTGCTGCTCCATGGCCTCGTGAATGGCCACGCGGTCATCCTCCCGCATCTTATCATCCGAGGTGGGAGAAATGAGGTGAGGAGGAAATAAAAAAAAAAAGTTATCATCAGTCACCTCCACTGGAACTCAGCTACACACCCACTGACACTGACCCCCAAGGTAAAGTTCTTGTTGGATCTCTGCCCAAGAGCACAGGATGTAACCAGAATTTTCTTGCAGCCCCATCCCCTGACCTTCCCCAGAAGAAAGTGAGGCAGCCTCAGGAGAGTCGCTCCTTTCTCCTGCAGCTCTGGGCTCTCCCGGGAGCAGCTGACAACCCAGGGGCTCTCTTCCCTGCTCCCACACACGCAGCCCCAAGGATACCTTGTCGAACTCATCGATGCACACCACTCCCCCATCCGCCAGCACCATGGCTCCTCCCTCCATGAAGAAACTCCTGGAGGAAGGGTCACGGATCACCGAGGCCGTCAAGCCAGCAGCACTGCTGCCTTTCCCTGAGGTGTACACCTAGAGGCATGCAGGACAAGAAAGGGGACAGCATGTCAGACACCATGGGACCCAAGAGCCCACTGCTCCACCCAAAGGACAAAGCAGCCCTAGCACTGCAAAATCCAGTGTTGCTGGATGTAGGAAACACAAGGAGCCCTAGAAAAACCCCTCAGCATACACCAAAAGCAGACCTGCTGGGCACTTAGCAAGACTATTGCCTGGTCCCAAGCCTCGGACTAAGCAGCTATGACGCACCGGAGGGCTTTCAGACACACAAATAGAGGTATTAAGTAGAGAACAGGGAGTGATTCATTGTTTGGTGGGCTGCTGCATTAGCTCCGCTTCTCCTGCCGAGGGAACAACGCAGTCAGAGGCTGAGTTTAATAAAGACTACAAGAAAACACAGCTGAAAATATAATTTCATGCCTGGGCTTAGCCTCGAGGTCTGTGCCTGAGATGCAGCCAACTTCATTTGTCCTGACCAGCCAGGCTCTCCGCTGATCAAGTCTCAACAACGAACAACAGCACCAGTCACATCTTTGGATGTCTGCAAATAGTCTGATTCATATCATAATGAAAGACACTACCTGCTTCCCCTTCCCTTCCTCATCACCCATTCTGCAACCTCATCTTTTTTTAGTTCACACCTCTGCTGCTAGCCAGTCCAGCTGTGGATACACGGGCAGGCATCTCCTGCAACCACAGTCTGGTCTTCAGCATTACGTAAAGAGCAGAAGGAAGAAATGAGCCGCGCTACAAGCAAACACCTCAAACCACCTACCCCAATAGGCGAGCACTTCTCAACGAATTTTAGCAGCTGAGATTTGGCTGTGCCAGGGTCACCCAGCATCAGTAAGTTGATGTCTCCTCTGCGGGTCAGCCCGTCCGGGAGCCTGGAGTGATAGGGTGGGAAGAGAGTGAGGAGAGAAGGTGAGCCTTTATTTTGATAACCAAGCGCTGCTGACAAGTGGCTCAAACACCTCCAGAAGATGGCTCTGTGCCACAAATGAAAACCCTGACACCACTGTCTGTCTGCCAGGCTGACTTTTGCCCACCTCTTGCGAGAGCCTCCAAATAAGAGGCAGGCTATGGCCTTCTTGATGTCAGTGCTGCCATAGATGGAGGGCGCGATGCTCTTGGCGATGGTCTCGTAGATGTTGGGCATGGCTGCAAGGCGACGAAGTTCCTCCTCTTCTTGAGGGGTCACAGAGCCAGCAAAGCTGTGTCCTGTACAGGGATGAGAATGACACAACACTGAGCAAACAAATTTAAAATAAATGACACTACTCCTCACCAACCCCGCTACCACCAAAATCCTTTCTTGAAGATCATTCTAAGTGCCACCAGGTGGGAAGGGTGGAGAGGGCATGTGTTTGCTATCCCAGCAAGGCAAGCTGTGTCCTTAGAGGCTGGTAGGAAAAAGTAAGGATCTTGGACAAAGGAGCTCTAGAGGAACCAGAGGGAGAATTACAGTCAGGACTATGTTTTAAATACATAGCTCAGTTTTAACCACTGACATCCTCAGGAATGGCTTAGCAGATTCTGAGTAAAATCAATAAGATATAAGCACTCACAATACCCTTGAAGCCTCAGGCTGAAGCCTTCTCATACAATATCACTGAGAAAAAGTCATACAGGACACAATTATAGAGCATCCAGGGTTAAGTTGGACTATATAAGCACCCAGACTGTGATTTCATACAGTCCTCACAGAGGGACCACCTCAATAAGCTCTCCCAACACTAGACTACCAACACAGATCAGACGGGCACCAAAAGCAGCCCTCACCTGAGCCCTCCACATCCACCTGGATGCCCACCACACGGATGTAAGCGCTTCGGATGCCCACACCCACATTATCACGGCTTCTGTTCTTGCTCTGGGCGGACTTCTTGATGGAGTAGATGCCCATGATAGTGACCCTGTTCCCTGGGACAACTTTGTCACACAGGTACCTAAGAGAAGGAAGAGGAGAGCAGAGGATGGTAGCGGGGAAAAGGAGAGCACTGGCAACACCTGCCAGCCCTGAGGGGTAAGGGTGGGGAGACCACACTGGTACCTGTCACAGTAGAGCTGCAAGTGCCGAGGCATCTCCCCGTGTGGCACAGCATCTGGAGACTCCTGCAGCTTCAAAATCTGGAAGTCCACACACTTGCACTTATCTGGCATGATGAAATAGGGGTCCAGCGGGCACTTTGGGCGGCCAGCTTGTTCTCTGTGCAGAAAGATAAATGAGGGAAGGCTGCTGGCCCTCAGGAGCCACCCCTGGGAGCCCCCTGTAGAGGTGACAGCGTTGACAGAGCTCAGAGGAGCTGCCCCTCCAAGTGACGCCCAGCAGGTGAGAAGGGCAGTCACACAAGTCCTCAACAAATGTAAGCCTTACATTTTGCTTTTAACAGCTGGCAAAACGGGGCATGAGAATGAGCCAAAGATAGTGTGATATTTGCCTGAATATTCTCCCTGCCTCCCCGCTCTGCCCTGCTAGCTAAAAGCAGGGAGGAAGGTAATTCATTAATTAGACTGAAGGTAACAGTATAGACTCAGCAACATGTCAGGGCATTTTTCTTTATAACCTCACACGCAAAGCAAATGTTAAGTGGCTTCTGGTGAGAAAGCAATTAGCAATGTGACAAGGCTGGCATCAACCTCCCAGTCTCTCGAGACATATCTGCCTTGCTAGACCACCAGCTCTCCAAGACAAGGAACACCTCCATGTCCTGCTGCTATCTCAGCACATGACTACAAACACCTAACTCGGTGGCAGGGATAGAGCTTTCGGAGAGGGTAACGTGAGAATTAGATGCACTTGTGCTATCATGGGCCAGTCTCTGTACAGACCACATGCAAGGAAGATCTCTATTCCAAATCCCTCTCAAACTGCATTAGAAATCATAGAATCATAGAATCACAGAATGGCCTAGGCTGGAAGGGACCTCGGAGATCATCTAGTCCAACTCCCTTTCATGGGCAGGGACGCCTCTCAACTAGATCAGGCTACTCAAGGCTCCATCCAACTTGGCCTTGAACACCTCCAGGGAGGGGGCAGCCACAACATCTCTGGGCAATTTATTCCAAAGTCTCATCACTCTCGTATTGAAGAATTGCTTCCTAAGGTCCAATCTAAATCTATTCTCCTTCACCTTAAACCCATTTCCCCTTGTCCTATCAGTGGACATGCTTGTAAAAAGTCCCTCCCCAGCCTTCCTGTAGGTTCCCTTCAGGTGTTGTAAAGCAGCTATTAGGTCCCCCCAGACTGAACAATCCCAGCTCTGACAGCCTGTCCTCGTAGCAGAGGTGCTCCAGCCCCTGGATCATCCTTGTGGCCCTCCTCTGAACACGCTCCAACAGATCCACGTCCCTCTTATGGTGGGGGCACCAAAACTGGACACAGTATTTGAGGTGGGGTCTCACAAGAGCAGAATATAGGGGGAGAATCACCTCTCTTGACCTGCTGACCACACCTCTCTTCATACATCCCAGGATGCCGTTGGCCTTCTGGGCTGCATGAACGCACTGCCGGCTCATATTAAGCTTCTCATCTATCAACACCCCTAAACCCTTCTCTTCAGGGCTAATTGCCTTCTCAACCCACTCTGTGCCCAGTTTGGAAATGAGGCACAGAAAACAAATACTGGAAGGCACAAGCTCAGAGACAAAACCCACCAGGATCGGTCAGCTCACCATACACAGGGGCAGCAAGTGCTGTAAGACACAATTAGAAAGTGAGTAGCAAAGCACCCCTGCAGAATGTAACACAAAACAGCCCCCAGGGGAGGGGGAACAACACAGAAGCAAGAAGTTTGTTTGAAAAAAAGTAAAATAAAGATAACAACTTAGTAAGAAGTTAGGACAGCAGTACGCAGCACTGCAGGACAGCAGAACGCAGGAATGAACCTTGAAGCAGAACAGGCAAAGCACCCTCTTAGATATAACAAACCCTCTGGACACAGCTGCTCAGCACCTCATGCAGTGCTGGTCATGCAGCACCATGACCGGTGTAACCACAGATGGAGCTAAAACCTTCCAGCCACGTGTGCACACAGGTAGAAAGGCAACATGAAGGCAGGAGTGAGAGAGCAGCACAGATGCTTCTGCGTTGTGCATCATGGAGCTGACTCTACACAACATGCACGGGATGGGATGGGGAGCAGGAGGAGGGGACGCAGTCTATTTTTTTTTCCCCGACCAGCCTGCGGCATGCGTCCTCACATCAGTCCTTACGTGTTGCATTTCCTGGGGAGAGCGTAACCCTCCAGGCCTGGGCGCACAGCAATGTTGCTGATGGTGTTGCGGCAGCTGCGGCACTGGATGGCTATTCTGGTGGCTTTGGCTCTCACAGGGGTTGCCGCAATTACAATGCCAGGGATCTTGACAAGGTGGGACATCTGGTCAGACTGAAAGGGAAAAAGGTGAAGGGAAGGTGAGAAAGACACCAGTGGAGGATGGACGGGAAACTAAAGAAGTAACACAATTCTTAGCTACACTCCTCACATTCATGGGAATTACGATACCAGAACAAAAAAGCCTGTGTAATATCACTCTTTTTCTCTACAGCAGTAGAGGAATGTTGCATGACTCGAGCCACGCTCATTTCAAAGCAAGAGAGCAAAGGACAAAACACTCTTGGCAACACATCAACAGCAATAACAACCCCGCAGCAGGGACCAGCAATAACAGTCCTTTGCAGTCAGATTTAAGTCGCCGAGTATCCCTGCTCATTTACAAATTAATGTACAACCCATGCCCTGAACTACGTAATTGAGTACCAGAAGCCTCCCTGCAATCACGTCCTGACACACACTAGCCCTGCCACTGGCTGCTCAGCGCGGCAGCAGATTCAGCTCACCTTCAGGCTGCGGATACTGGCTGCATTGGCATCTGATCTCAGCATCACCTGGATGTCTTGGAGAGCTTCTTCCCCTGAAGGGCGAGGACGGGTCACCTCATCTGCTACTTCTTTAGCTGCTTCTTCCAACTAGAAAGGGAAGAATTAGGCTGTTGTAGGTATGTTACAGTGTGTCACCAGGGCTGCTCTCATGATGTGAGGAAATCAACGTGCTAGGTTTCCCACCCCTCTCCATCCTTACCAGCTGCAGGTGCTCTGCTGGCTGCTTGTACAGATAGTCAGCGAGATCTTCATCAAAACTGGCCAAGTCTTCCATCTCCACCTCCACCCAGTACTGTCTCAGGTTATAGTGCCGTTTAAGCTCATCCCTAGAAGGCAGCAAGTGGTAAAAGTTCACAGGGCAGAAAGCACCACTAGCCCACAGTGACCTTACGACAAGCAAGGAGAAGAGAAGGCAGGTTCTGCAGGAACTCCTTGGTTTGGAAAGCAAACAGGGAACATCAGAAGACTGTCAAGAGAAGTGAAGGGGGGCCCAGGCAAATCTTTCACTCAAAACCCCTTTAAAATGGGACATAAGACCATGGACACCAGTTGTTGCAGTGACAATGTAAAGTACAGCACTAGTTGTTTATTAGAGTTGCATGGCCAGATGGGCAATTAGAAACCTTCTGCACAGGATAATGCCTACTATATCTAAAATACAATTTTAAAAGAGAAAGTAATAGCATAGCAGGCAATGTTGTCCTTAAAAAAACCAGAGTGGATGAGATTCAGAGACGAAAGGTGAAAGACTGTTGCAGCCTTGCATGACAAACCTCTCTGTTCTCTCACAGTTGTGTCACCAAGCTGCACAGATAAAGGGATGGCCAAGGGACCTTCACAGCCTCAGCAGGCACACATAGGTAGTGCTGCACCAATTTTAATGAATACAGACAGAACTCCAGACCAGAAAGCACCAGAACTTAAAGACAGACCTTGAATTTCAGAACTAGGTTCCAACTTGGCAACACAGATCCCTCTATTGCTACCTCTGCCACTATCTGGCTGCCTAAAAATTTGGGAGAACACCAGACTTCAGCTTTCCTACAAGATTAAATGGGAAGGACAACATTTCTCCTTCTGGTCTACAGGAAGAGAAAAGCTGACATGCACTGCTGTATATCAAGATGAGCTCTGCAGGAGGGAGGTTAACAGCAGACGGGGTGTGCAAAGAGGGCACAGAAAGGGAAACGGGGAGACAGCAGTACCTGTATTTGAAGGTGAAGCCCGTCCGGTCCGTGCCCACTCGGTACTGCCGCAGGAACTCCTTG